AAGCTGCAAATACTCCCAAGAAGTCTAGAATCTCAACCAAAATCGAGAATGGGTCATAAATAGTCTAAAATTCTAACTTCATTAGATAAATAAAATGCTTCGTTTTCCTGTTGCATCGAAAGTTGCAACTTTGCTATATTTTGCACCGTTCTCTCAGTTAATGAAACTTATCCTTTTTGCACTTGATTTCTTTATCCAAAATCCTTCCCAAAGCATCAAGAAAAGGTCTAAAAATACATTTAATCAAATCTTAAACCAAAATAACACAAAATTAACCTAAAAGTATTAAATTAAAAAGAAATGTGCAAACCCAAAGCAAGATACGCATTTTCCTAATTTGGGCAACCAAAATATACAAAATTGTGTCAAAATATATTAGAAACTAAGAAAAATATGCTCAAATGATATAAAATTCTAGAGGTTATCAACTATTAATATGGGATAATTTTGTATCAAAACTAAGAATGGCAACAAAAAATATTATTGTTAAACTTAACAAAGGTGACAAGTTAAATAGGGATAGTTGGGATATATGGTACTGCAAGATGTCATACATTGCTGAAGAGCAAGATACTGTCAAGCCACTAATCATAGGCATGATTGAGCCCGAGGTAGGTAACTCAGTTCAACATAGTAGAGGTTAAGAGGCATACATGGTATGGAAAAGAAAAAACACGAATTATCCTTTTGAGTATTATGGTTATCGATCTAATGTACAAATTTGAAAAGCACTCATTAGCTAGGGCTTGTGGGCTACCTTGAAAGAAAGTTTGGAGGTACCTTAACTACTGAATTGAGAAGGTTGATGATTAAGTTTGACACTTATAAGCTGAAGTCAAATACTCCTATGTGGTAGCAGCACCTTTGGGAGATGGCCAACATGATCTGTGAGCTTAAGGAACTTAGGCATGATTTATCTAATGAGCAGCAGGTATAGGTTATAATCAGATCACTTCTAACCAGTTGAGAACACATGAAAGCTAACCTAACCTACAACAAGAACATCATTACTTTTAACAATGTGGCTAAGCAGTTGGAGCTAGAGGATGAGTGTTTGAAGGCTTATAAGTCATCGGAAAAGGTTTATCTTGTCAAGGAAAGTGATCCTTTAAATGCTAAGCCTAAAAAGGGCAAGAAGCAACAAAATATTTTCATTAATATTTGGCCAGTTTCGTTTTATATTTGTTGACTTTTTTTTAAGTATATATGGTTATGTGGCTATAGAAATTTTTCACTCTCCATATTGTAACATTGATGATTCATCATAATAAAGTTGTCTATTTTGACTTGCTTTAACTTTTCTGATATTCTTTAGTACAATAAGTTAGCTATAATTTGTGGCAAAAGCAACCATCTATGTTTAGCATTGTAAGTAATATTTATGAATGACAAAGAACATTCTTATAACTAAAATAAAAATGATACAAATTTTATTATCAATAAACACTATATTAGATGAATTTGAAGGTAGTATGATGAGTTAAATTTTATTAAAAATTGTGTTGATGATTATAATAAAATGTAACTCTCTCATAATCAAAAATAGAAATTCTTATATCTAAAAGAGTAAGATAATTTTTGTAGCACTAATCTAACATTGTTGTTAAGTTTAACACATGAAAAGGAAGAGATAACATGTTGAAATATGAACCCTAAAATAATTGTTAGGAATTTTATTGACTTTCTGTGAAAAGCTTCCACTTTCAAGAATATGGGACGAAGAAAATAATGTGATGCCACTAGCAATTAAACTATTGAAATGTGTGAGTGGGTGTTCTGGATTTTAAATTTCTAAAGTATTTTAGGCTAGGCTTTAGTTAAAATTGTAGTTAAAAAGTAAAAACTAATAGACTAATTAATTAGTATTCTAATCGAACCATACAAAATAAGTTTAAAAATATAAAATATGTGGTTCAGGTTTTAGAAGCAAAACACTGAAACTTGAACCAACAAGCGTAAGATTTCTAAAATCAAACCAAACCTTATTAATAATTAATTTTTGTTGAACTAGTTTGGTTTGGTTTGGTATGGTCAATTTTATTCAGTTTAAACACCCTTAGTACATAGGATTGAAAATTAAGTAAGATCTATTATCAAGTTTTAAAAATTAAGATGGCTATTATATACATGGTTCAAAGTATAAGAAAATTTTCTGTAATTTAATTTTAAGAAAATTACTTTAACTTGAAATTAAATTAAATTAAATTAACTCACTTGTAATACTTTTACTTCTCTATTTAAAATTCAGAATTTAGAAATATATTTAAATGTTTTTATTGTAATAATTTTATTAATCCATGAAAAATGTTGAACTTGTAATTAAGATACAAAATGAACTTAGGGAGCTTGAACCAAAAATTAAACAATGCAAATTAAGACAAGGTACTGCTTGTTGGCATTGGGCGTGGGCCTCACAACTTCTCCACATCAACAAATAATGATTTTGTGAGGGAAGTGCTTTTTGCTTCATCAAAAAATGTTTAAAGAAGATGTTGCCTTATCTTTTAATATAGAATGTTCAATGTTCCTCAAAAAAATTTAGGAAAAAAATAATTTTTAATTCTAAATAAAAATTTATCAGCCACCTTGACCAAGTACAAGGGTGATTATCATATTGTCGGTCCTGACAATAATACTAATAATAATTATTAAATATTAAATGTTAATCCTTTAATAAGATATTATTAAAGAAAATATATTATTTCATTAATTAATTACTTAAGCTACTCTGATTTATTTATAAGAAATAAGTGGTATTTTGGTCAAACTCAAAATTGTAATTTTTTCTTTTACATGTTAAAAAATAATATTTATCTCTTTATATTTATTTTTAACATAAGATAGTTAATCATCATTAATTTTCTTAAACTTATTGGTAATATTTTGGGTCATTGTTTTAATTTTTATGTATTTTTCTATAATTGTTTGATTCAAATAATGGTGAAAATTAACTATTGGTAACAATAAAAATAATATAACACATTTTTAGTTGTTAAAGGGAAATAATACACCACAAAAAATTTAAGATATTAGACACTCTTAAGCAAATAATTGAAAGGTAAAAAGTAAATTAGGCATGTTACACAAACAAAAAAATTAAGCTAAAAAAATTTAACAAAACAATAGACAATGGTCTCTAAATTAGTTAAGCATTGAAATTTTCCTTTTTTTTTTTGTGAGGGATTCATTAAAAGCCATTATTTTTTTTAATTATAATCATGTTGTCTCTTTTCCATTGCCAAAGAATAACATTTATGTTGTATCAAAGAGATATTCAAAGATTAAATAAAACCTTTTGATCATTGAGGTAAAGAAGAAACATTATATCCCTTTTAGATTTCAAAAGGACATCTAAGTATTTAATAAAATTGGTACACGATGTTTTAATCAAAACCCAAATTGATACATGAAACAGTTGGCAACAAAATATTAATTGTTAAGGCACTTTATGATATTCCTTTAAAATGAAATGGTAAAGAACAATATAATATTCATGAAAAGGTCCAACAATCAAATAATGAGATAATGACACGAGGTGAATAAAAGGGAAAAAATAAAAGAAATTCAACAATTGGGAACAAGATATTAATTGTCAAGCTACACTTTATAATATTCCTTTAAATTGAAATGGTAATTAAGAATAATAAAATATTCATGAGAGGATAATAAGCAACTAAGGAGATAATGATTTGATGTCAGTAAAAAGAAAAAAAAAAGAAATTAGTTATCTGCAATCATTTTAAGGAATCATTATCTAAGTCATTTAAATAAATAATTTGGAACATTAAATTGATCTCTATAGTTTTATTTGATGGGTAATTATTTGTGTTGAAATCAAGTGGTAATGATAGGCCATTCATATATTATATATTCTAATGGCCTATCTAGCTATTCAAACTATTTTGGGACCAACAAAGTACTTTTCACTTAATGAATCCCAACTAGGACGCATTACATGTCCATTTTCATCAAGCAATCAGCCAATAAACACACATGCACATATATGACAAACATTTATATTTGGTAACATCCGGTTTTACATATTTGAATAAAAAGAAAGAGATGCATCTCTTCACTAAAATAAGTTAGTTACACAATTATTATTAACGGTAAAGACACATATTAAATATTTTCATTGTTGGCAAAAAAAAAAAAAAAATTCACCGATGATTAACAAAGGATATAAGAATATTAAATTAAAATTATGGAATAATGCAACTTTCAATCCTTAAAATTTGTCTCAGGTATCAATTTAATTCTACATGTTTAATTTTTATCTAATAAGTCCCTTAAGTTTATTTCAGTTATTGATTTGGTCCTCATTTTTTAAAAAGAAGGTTACGCTATTAAAATTTACTAACATGGATAATAGAATAGTAATGGCAGCCATGAAGATTATTGAAAAGATGTATAATTATTTAAATATAAAAAATAGATGCTGAAATTTTAAAACATAGTGTAAGGGATTATATTAATAAAAATTAAACCGAGTTGAGAGATAAATAATTCTCATTTAGTTACATGTACATGACAAGTCATCAATATACTTTATACATTATATTATTTTTTAGACTTAATTTATGTTCTAAAATTTAAAAAATTCACATGATAATTTAAGAAAACATGGGAAAATAAAACTTAAACTTAATAAATCAAATCAATAATTGAGACAAATTTGATAGATTAAAATTTTCTTTATTCCTAAAATTGAAATCAGCGTTACATAAAGTAGTTGAAAAAAGAAGAAGAGGAATTTGCAATTTTTCATATAAGGTCATGGATGTGTGTGCAAATATAATGATGAAGTTCATGCCTACCTATCAACATAGGCTTTATTATTTTTAATCATTATTTTATCTATCTAACATATTTTGATATTATAATACATCCGATGCACAACATCTCCAAACCAATGGCCACCCCTAGTTGTATTATAAATTAGAACCTATATAGTATGTGATTTCCACTATCAACACAAGTTAAAGTTTCAAGTTTCAACAATGTCCTCTAAACACTTTCTAGTGTTCCTTTTTGGAGTGATGTTTTTCATCACTTCTAGCTTTGCAGAGTATTCTAAGAAGCCTCATCCTTCAGTTGAAAACTCATTTCTTGAGAAAACACCACAATTTGAGGATTCACTGATCAATGAACCTCAGATAAATGAGCCTCAAGCTGGTAAATGGTTTAAGCCAGGGATAGTGAAGCCAAATAAAGGGCCTACCAAACCGAAGCCCGACAGACCCCTCCCTGGAAAGCCAGGGCAAGAGATTCCACCAAACAAAGAGAAACCAGGCAAAGAGAAACCAGGCAAAGAGAAACCGGGCAAAGAGAAATCACCAAAAGAAAAAAATTAAGCTAGTTGTGGAGAAACCACCAAGTTATCAACTCCCATGTTATCCTCACTAGCCTCCTTTATCGAACATTAAATAAGTATCCTATGCTTTTAAGTACACTTTGACGAATAAAAAAAAAAGGAGAGAGTACGTATATAATCTCTCTACAATTTACCATAAAGTTTATTTTCATTAATATTTGGGCAGTTTAGTTCTTATATATGTTGGCTTTGTTTTTGAGTATGTATGGTTATGTAGTTATAGAAATGTTACACTCTCCATATTGTAACATTGGTGATGTATAGTAGTAATGTTGCCTATTTTGAGTTACTTTAATTTTTCTTATATTCTTTAGCACAACGAGTTAGCTATAATTTGTAACAAAAGCAATCATCTGTGTTTAGCACTGTAAGTAATATTTATGAATGCAAACAACATTCTTATAACCAACATAAAATGATTCAAAGTTCATTATTAATAAACACTATATTATATGCATTTGTAAACAGTGTGATGAGTTAAATTTTTTATTATAAATTGTGTTGATGACTATAATAAATGTAACTCTCTCACAATTAAATTAAATTAAATTAAATTAACTCACTCGTAATACTTTTACATCTCTATTTAAAACTTAAAATTTAAAAATAAATTTAAATGTTTTAATTTAAATAATATTATTAACTCGTAAAAAATGTTGAACTTGTACTTATAAGATACCAAAAGAACTTGGGGAACTTGAACTAATATTAAACCATGCAAATTAAGGCAAGGGATTGTTTGTTGGCACTGGGCATGGGCCCTGCAACTTCTCCACCTCAATAGATAATGATTTTCTTACCAATGGGCTTTTTAAGAGAGATATTGCTTTATCTTTCAGTCTAGGATGCCCAACGCTCCTAAGAAAAGTTTAGGAGAAAAAATGCTCTTTAATCTTATATAAAAATAAAATAGTTTTTAACCAGCCACTTTAACCAGGCACAAGGTTGATTATCATATTATTATTGTTGACAATAATACTAGTAAAAATTATTAAATATTAAATGTTAAACCTTTAATAAGATATTATTAAAGCAAATATATTATTTCTTTAATTAATTATCTGAGCTACCCCGATTTATTTTTAAGAAGTAAGTAACGGTATTTAGGTCAAACAAAAAATGGTATTTTTATCTTTTACATGGTAAGAAATAACATTTATCTCTTGATATTCCTTTATAATATAGGATACTTAATCATCATTAATTTTCTTATACTTATTTTTAATATTTTGAGTCATTTTTTGGTAATTTTTATGTATTTTTCTATAATAATTCGAGTTAACTAATTGTTAAAGTTAACTTTTGTTAATAATAATAATAACATAGCACTGTTTTTAATTGTTGAAGGAACATATTGCACTATAAAAAAAAATTAAGATTTTATACACTACTACGCTAATAGTTGAAAAGTAAAAAGTAATGCTCTTCAATTTCGCTTCAAAGAAAGAGTAACTACACAAATGTAAAAGAGATTAGGCATATTACACAAACAAAAAAATTAAGCCAAAAAAGAAGAAGCAAATGGTCGACAAAGGACTCTGAATCAATTAAGCATTGCAATTTCTATTTTTTTTTTAATGTGGGGGATTCATTGAAAGCCGTTATTTTTTCTAATTATAATCGTGTTGTCTTTTTTCCATTACCAAAGAATAACATTCATGTTGTATTGAAGAGATATCCAAAAAAATTAAATAAAGCCTTTTGATCATTGAGGTAAAGAAGAAACACTATATCACTTTTAGATTTCAAAAGGACATCCAAATTTAATAAAATTGGTAAATGATGTTTTAATCAAAACCCAAATTGATACATGAAACAGTTGGCAACAAAATATTAATTGTTAAGACACTTTATGATATTCTTTTAAAATAAAATGGTAAAGAACACTAAAATATTCATGAGAAGGTCTAATAATCAAACAAAGACATAATGCCACGTGGTAAATTAAAGGGAAAAATCAAAGCAGTTCAACAATTGGGAACAAGATATTAATTGTTAAGGTACACTTTATAATACTCCTTTGAAATGTTATTAAGAATAGTAAAATATTCATGCGAAGGTAATAAGTAACTAACAACATAATGACTCGATGTCAATAAAAAGATAAAACAAGATATTAGTTATTTGTGATTATTCTAGGGAATCATAATCTAAGTCAGTTAAATAAATAATTTGGAACATTATATTGATCTCTAGTTTTATTTGAAGGGAAATTATTTGTGTTAAAATCAAGTGGTGATGATTGGCCATTCATATATTGTGTATTCTAATGGCCTATTTAAAAAAAATCTAGCTATCCAAACTCATTTTAGGACCAACAAAGTCATTTTCACTTAATCAATCCCAGCTAGTAAGCATTTCATGTCCATATTCATCAACCAGTCAACCAATAAATACACATGTACATATGTGACGTATATTTGTAGTTCGTAACATCCGGTTTTACATATTTAAATAAAAAGAAGAGATGCATTTCTGCACTAATGTTAGTTACACAATTATTAATAACGGTAAACACACACATATTAAATATCTTCATTGTTGGCAAAAAAAAAAAAAATCTTCACCGATGATTAATTCTTAAAAAGAATGTAAGAATATTAAAATATAATTATGGGATAATGCAACTTTCAAACCCTCAACTTTGTCATAATTATCGATTTGATCCATCAGACTTAATTTTTTGTCAAGGTAGTCCCTTCAATTTATTTCAATTATCACTTTGGTTCTTATTGATTAAATAGAAGGTTATGTTGTTAAAATTTACTAACATGGATTAATGGCATCTAACACAATGTAAGGGATTATATTAATAAAAATTAAACTAATTTGAGGTTTAAATTATTCTCATTTAATTATACATATATGACAAGTCATCAATATAATTTGCACGTTATATTATTTTGAAACTTAATTTGTGTTTCAAAACTTGAAGAAGTCAATGATAATTTAAGAAAAATATAAGCGACCGAATCAATAAAAAATAAACTTGAAGGACCAAAGTAATAACTGAGGCAAATTTGATACACTAAAAATTTTTTTTATCCCTAAATATAATCAGCATTACATAAAAGAATTGAGAAAAACAAAAGAGGAATTTTCAGTTTTTCATATATGCACATGAATGTGCGTGGATGTAATGTAACGATCATGCCCATATGATACCTACCTATCAGCATAGGCTTTATTAATTATTTTTTATAATTATTTTATCTATCTAACGTATTTTGATATTATAATATATTGGATGCACAATATCTAGAACCCAACTAATAGCCGTCCCTAGTTATACTACAAATTAGAGCATATATAGTATGTGACTTCCACCATCAACACAAGTTAAATTTCAAGTTTCAACAATGTCCTCTAAATACTTTCTAGTGTTCCTTTTTGAAGTGATATTTTTCATGACTTCTAGCTTTGCAAAGTATCATAATAAGCCTCCTAGCTCCTTCTGTTGAAAACTCACTTCTTGAAAAAACACCACAATTTGAGGATTCCTTGACTAATGAACCTCAGATAAATGAGCCTTAAGGTGGTATATTGTTAGGCCACAGGTTCAATGGCAACACATAGAGTCTTCCAAAAAGAAGGGCGACAAAAATTCTAAAACCAAGCAATGGGGAACTAGTCGAAGGGAAACCAAGCAATGGAGAACCATGCGAAGGGAAACCAAGTGAAGGGAAATCACCAAAAGAAAAAATTAAGCTAGTTGTGGAGAAATCACCAAGTTATCAACTCCCACGTTATCCTCGCTAACCTCCTTTATCAAACATTAATTAAGTATCCTATGCTTTTAAGTACACTTTGATGAATAAACATTAGAGAGTACTTGATCTCTCTACAATTTTCATAAAGTTTATTTTCATTAATATTTGGGTAGTTTGGTTTTATATATGTTGGTTTTGTTTTTAAGTATGTATGGTTACGTGGCTATAGAAATGTTACACTCTCTATATTGTAACATTGATGATATATAATAATAAAGTTGTCTATTTTGACTTATTTTAATTTTTCTCATATTTTTTAGTACAATGAGTTAGCTATAATTTGTAGCAAAAGCAATCATCTATGTTTAGCATTGTAAGTAATATTTATCAACGACAAAGAATATTCTTATAACAAAGATAAAAATGATTCAAATTTCATTATTAATAAACACTATATTATATGCATTTGTAAGTAGTAGGATAAGTTAAATTTTATTACAAATTGTGTTGATGACTATAATAAAATGTAACTTTCTCATAATCAAAAGTAGAATTTTTTACATCTAAAATTACACAAAAGAGTAAGATAGTTTTTGTAGCACCAATCTAACATTGTTGTTACGTTTAACATATGAAAAGGAAGAGATAACATGTTGAAATATGAACTCTAAAATAATTGTTAGGAATTTTATTGAATTTCAAGAATATGGCATGAAGAAAATAATGTGATGTCACCAGCAATTAAACTTTTAAAATGTGTGAGTAGGTGTTTTGGTTTTTAAATTTCTATAGCATTATAGGATAGGATTTAGTTAAAATTGCAGTTAAAAAGTAAAAACTAATAGACTAATTGATTAATATTCTAATCTAACCATACAAAATAAGTTTAAAAATATAAAATATATGGTTCAAGTTTTAGAAGCAAAACACTGAAATCTGAACCAACAGATATGGGATTTCTAAAACCAAAACCAAATCTTACAAATAATCAATTTTTTGTTGAACTGATTTGGTTTGGTTTGGTGTAGTCGATTTTGTTTGGTTTTAAATACCCTTAGTACATAGGATTGATAGTTGAGTAAGACCTATTATCAAGTTTTAAAAATTAAGATGGCTACTATATACATGATTCAAAGTTTAAGAAAGTTTTCTATAATTTAATTTTAAGAAAATTACTTTAACTCTGAAATTAAATTAAATTAAAGGAAAAATATAACTTTAGGTCATTGCAGTTTGTTCAAGTTTTGTTATAAGTTCATGTACTTTTTTC